CTTTTTAAGTATCTAGTACACTTTTCAACCATTTGAACTGTGACACCTGGAGAGCTAGCATATCAAATGGTTCCAGAGACCTTGTATTGGGGTGTATTGGGGGGGGGGGGCCACAAAGGAATGTATAAAGATTCTGATAGAAAGGGAGTGAGTCATGTAGTGTTGAGATCACACCTTGCAGCAAGAGCACAGCTCCAATCATCGCATTAACAATTCATATTAAGAATGTAACATTTTTATCATACAGACTTCCTATCAATTCTTATTCTCCAAGATTGGATTTTCTTTCAGTTTTCTTAACCTACTATTAGTTATTTATAAATTATCCTCTTTTTTTTTCTTTAAGTTTGCAGCTCAAGTTATGATATGGGATGCTACAAAAAAATTTCAGACTATAGTAAATAATCAGAAAAAGTGAAAGAGTTACTGTATCATTCATGGTGTTTTCATTGAAGTAATCTACTTGTTAGGTAATGCACCTTGTCCAGTATTTCTGCCATTGCTTGAAGCACTTTTGGAACACGTTTCTCACTTGCTTGTCATGAGCACCTCTTCTGATGTGTTGAATTTTTTCAAAATGTCTCAATCTCTGAAACTTTTCCATTTCAACTTCAATTTTACTCTTGGAGTACAAGCAATGGCAGGCCACAACCATGTTGTTCTTGGGCATGCAGAGAGCAGTAGAGCAGGAGCATAGTCTTGATTTAACAAGTAATCACCAGCACCATTTCCAAGGACATTTGAACCCGACAGCTTCCCATCATTGACGTAAGACACTTTTGCATTCAAGTGAAGCAGCCTGACCTCCTTCAGGAGTGGAGATAAAGGGATTCACCACTGACAGAACTGGTGTTTTGTCTTAAGGTCATACATGTAAACTGATGTCTTTGCTCCTGTGATGATCTTCCAAAGGAAGGATGGGACATTCTGAGACAACCTTGTATATTCGCATTCGTTGTGCTAGTAAAAGTCAGAATTTGTGAAGAACACTCAACACAGTCTCACATAAAGGCACATAAATTCACACTGAAACATGCTATTTCACACCAAACTACTTATAATAGAATACACTATCACCACTTATCACCAAAACTTCATACTATCATTCCTCTTGTGTCATCAAAGGAAGTCTGGAAACTTTTGGATAGTACCCCACTGTTAATGTAAAATTCAGCACTGAGCTACTTTATACAAACACAGTAGAACCTAGGTTTCAGGATCAATTTTGTCTGTCTTTATCAGTGCTGTTGAAGCTTCATAAATACAATTTTTCCTGCACTTGTTATTTCCAGAATCATCAATGCTTACAGATTTTCAAACCAGTTTCTTGGTATAACGCTAGCACTGTCATGACCCACTGTGCAAGTACAGTAAAAGAGTGGGTGACGAGCGGTTGTGTGGCAGTGGACCCTGAGGCAAAGGCAAGTAAGTATAATAAATGCTTGGCTGTAATTACTCCACCAAACTGTGGCTTCAAGTACTATATATATGGAAACAACCAAATACAATGCAACCAGTACACAATATGTACTGGAAAAATTTAAAGTGTTTCACTCCAATCTTCATTTAAATTTGCCACTGTAATAAGAAATTTAGAAGACCAGAAAGGCATTTTAAGTCTGGGATAAAATGGGTACTTTACATCCAGTAGATACTATGATGGAAATAATGGCAACATTACATGCAATTGTAGGATCTGCATTAAAAACAATTAATAAAACAGAATGGGAAGTACTTTGCTCAATGGAAGCGTACTACAAAAACTAAAGTAACTTACAACGAATACAGGAAGAGCTGTAGAATTTATTAAAAGCATGGTTCAAACAAGCCAGAATGTGAACTATAAAGTTCTAAGATACAAGGTCTCTGATCCCAACTGTGAACACATATTTAAATTTGCTAGCTTGGAATTTAGTTTTAAAAGACATTGGCAATGATATAAATCTATATATTAGATACTTGTCAGGTTACATCAATCTGTATGTAACTGCTTTCAAGGAAACACATCTCTATGTATCAAAATGTCCAATAAGCATACCAATGCAGCGAGAACACTAAAACTGCAATAAGCTAGGCCACAGAAGCTCTTGCCATATAGTGAACAAAATCACTCAATGTATTTAATTGTCTGAAAAACAACTGTTCTTTCATGGAGTATTGTATATTTAGTTCAAGTTAAAAGTTAGAAATCTTAATTCATAAAAAAAAAGAAATTCTGGATAGATCAGTTTTAAAAAAATTCAGTATTGGTAACCCATACTAAAATGACTGAAGGAACTAGATTCTTATTGGATGATTTCGACTGTAACTTAACACAAAACCCATAACTGGACCGAGAACCTACAATCATACATTTTTTACAAGTAGTTCTCAAGAAACTGCAAGTGCAAAATAAAAATAATTAGGAAGCTCTTAAAATTTGTTACCATTGTCCACGCCAGGCAAGAACAAGGCATGTCACACATTTATGTCTGCTTATTGGAAACTCTGCCTCAAGTCAAAGTTCAGTAAACCTGAATTCTTTTATGGAAGAGGTGGAATAATTAAATACTCATTTTAATGAAAACATGCTGTTCTCAGAAATCTTATTACTTAACATGGAAGTTTCATGAAAGTGGAGTGTAACCTACTTCAGACAGATGATGCTAGAATGTATCACAGAAATAAACTTCTGATACTTTATAATGCTTTCAAAAAGTAAAATCCAAAGATTCAACCCCGCTGACATCAAAGCCCATCATTTCATACGATCTCAACATGTTAAATCCACCTCCCATTTCCACAATCCTATTTCACTAAAATCCACTTTAATATTATCCCCCACTCTCCTCTCAAGTCTTCCACATGGTTTCCCTACCAACATATGCATGAATGTCAAGTTTTTTCTACTCCACCTAACTTACATTTTACTGCAATCTTGAAAGTGAATGACCTATTGGTTCTGATAAGAAAAGCAACTTATCAAATTAGAAAGATGAAGTATGAAAGATAACCACTACTTGCCTTAACTTAATGTAAGGTATTATTCTAATAAAAAGATAATTAAATGCACAAACTTTATGCTTTGAGGTCTTGAGTACCTGCCAGTTATTAAGACAGTCAAGAAATTTGAGGTTATGGAACCCCCACGAATCATAACAACAAAGATGATCTGACTTCACACACTCAAAATATTCTCTGAAGATTCATTTTATTATTCCCATATGTATGCTTCTCCCAAGAATTATATAAAAAAGCTGTTTTCATCTGCACCTCAAGCATATTTACCCATCCAACTCTTCCATATTCTAACAAATGTACAACTGTTTGATTTACACAAAACACTACATTGACACCTGCAATTAACACAAACTCCACAATCTTTTACAGATTTACTGAGACACCTGTCTTCGCATTTTGAGGAAATGAACATCATAATACACTTGGCACCAAAGTAGAAAGCTTATAAAACAAACTGTAATCTGGCTGTAGATGACAAATATACCATATGTGAAATGGATATCCGATGTTTTTGGTTACTTTAAAGTATTGTTTACTAACTCAGAAACAGACAATATCTGAAGACTGTCTGTATGTGATGACCGAGTTTCTTATTTCATGCACATTATACAACAAGTCTTACATGGTATATTAAAAACCACACTGGAAGAGCAAGAAATGCTTCAAATGTGAGAGACAATTACAACTTTGATTTGAGAAAAAGAAATTAATGTATTCTCACTGACAAAATTTCATCAGAGACAATGACAAAGGCTGCAATTATATATTATAAGCACAAGCCAATTTAGCACAACATAAACTTTGCAACTGATTAACTTGTGAGGAACAAATGCATGGGTGGGTAATTTAAAAAATGTCTGTGTTGGTAATTCCAATATCAGAATAACATTTACATGGTGTGGTACTCAAAATGGGCAAATTCACTTTATCACATCCAGATAACTTGATTTAACATTAACGCAGTTTTATCTCCAATTCTGCACTCTTCATTTATTTGTTTTCACTTTAAAGCAGCTGAAGACTATGCACTGATTCTTCACTTTGGTTTAATGTGGATATGCATCCAGTTAACAGGAAATATGGCATGACACTGTGGCATATTACCATCACAGACGTAACTACACAAATGGTTTGCATCTCCTGTGAGATTTAAAGTTCAGTCTTTGGAAAATTAGGTCTTCATTTCAGCACTTTTCAGAACACACTTACTGTGCAATTTTAAATTGACTCTATGCACAATACATCAACTGAAGTACAGACAGACATCTGATAGATTTCAAATTCACCATGATACAAAATTAGCGAACACTTCAAAACTCTACTGCTTCTTAATTATACTCTCAAGTATACAACAAGAAAGATCCAAGAGAATTAATACAGGCTAGAAGTCTCATGCTTGTAAATACCAAGTCAAAATATTCTGTAGAAACCAATAAACGAATTTAGTTACGAAGTAAAGCGAAAAAAGAAGGGGTCATCCATGTCAACTCGATACAACAGCCATCACAACCAAACTACATTTCATTCAATTTGGTCAGTTTGCTGCATCTAATACATACAGGTATTATGAAACATTACCTTCCTACATCAATATCAGATGCACAGATTTTGAAATTCACGTCACTCTAAACTACTAAAGTGCTTATAACTAAGCCTTTTCAGGGCGGAAAGCTTATTCTTGCATAAATTTGAAACTCTTAAGTGGGTCTTTCATTTCATATATCATTCATGTTTTTCTTGGTCACCCAAAACTTTCTATCATGACCTCTTAATCATATTTACCAAAAATGAACTGTCAGATCTGCTTTGTTTTCTCTTCCAGTGCGAAGATGCTATCCACTAAGTGAATGGTTAATGAAAAAGGCACCCAGTACTCAGAAACGTAGCAAACCAGTCACAAGTTTTCCCCGAGCTCTATACAGAGATACAAAATTATTCACAAACTCGTGTGACATAAATGCAACTGAAAAAATAACTTGGATATAAAGTTCAGTACTTACTTCAGGTAAGTTGTTCTTGCTTAAACAAAATAAGTTAACAGGAGACTCGACAGTTTCCATTAAAGTTGTTTCAGGTGAAGCATCCAAATGAAAATTCAAGAAAGTGGATGGAACTGTAAAAAAATGTGTAAACAGTGAGTGTTCAGGAGAAGTTAAACAATGGCATGTCAGACATGATGTTACTAGTCATATTAATTATGCATGTAGGCATGGTTTAGTAGTACAGTTGCTGATGAGAAACTGATGTGTTCCATGTCTGTTAAAAGTAAATGGCAAAGGGATCAGAATGGTGGTGGAAGGGGATAGTGGGTAAGGAAGTTCACATACTAAAAGAACACACTCTCAGGACATTGTCCATCATCTTGATTTCTGTTCAAAAACACACTTCTAAGCCTGTAATCTGTCTCAGTCCTAAGGAAAAAACCTATTCTGTTGGGCCCAATCAATACAGCTATTGTCTTCAGAGATAGGGACTGTACTAACTATAACCATTATTTTCCAGTGCCATACTTTGTAGCTTGCTCTCTCAGTTCATATCAGTAATGTATTTGGGTTACCTTCTACACAAACGTTAGTTACAAAGGTGAAATGTACCGTCCGGTTACGTTCTACACACAAGTTAGTTACAAAGGTGAAATGTACCGTCCTGAACCTCTACAAGATTTCTAGGAAGGATGAAGACACATTTAACTTTTCTGTCTCAAGGAATATTTAAATGTGAATATATGTTACAAAACATACATTATATGAACCCTATAACATGATAAAATAAAATACATACTGAAGTACAATGACAATGCCACAAAATGTACAGTAAACACCAAACATATTGGGAATGCTACTATTCATTTAATCACCTTGCTCGAGTGAGATATCTGCTTGTACATAAGAACATGTTGGTTTCAGTGCTAAAGTTTACATCACAATTAAAATAAAATGAACACTTGGAAGGAGAAAGGGGAAACAAATGACACTGTAACCTAAAAGCAGGACTTGAGGTTTTCATGGCACATAAGTCTCAAGACACCCACCTTATAAAAGAAGATTTAATGTCTTTGAAACAAAACGTGTTAAAAGTCAACTGCCATGAATGTCAACACACTAGACAAATTAAACCGAAAACCAAATATCTAACCCAAACTTTGCATGTAGCATTTCCCCCCCAACATCAGACAAAATGGTTATACTAGAAGTCATAACTGCACCAATATTGGAAATTGAGTGTTCCACGTGAAAGTAAATTGGCACTACGGAATTAGACGATTTATAATGTACTTCTGACAAGTGATCACACCCACAAATGGTCAAAATCAATGACAAGAACTCTGTGATGAGGAAATACCTGTCACTATACTGGCGAGATAGAATAGGAATCTGATAGTGTTTCCCGTTAGAAAAGCACAACAATTATCCCATGAATCCCATAAAACGTATCAGCAATTTCTCGGAAAATAAATGAACAGAACGTCTTACACATTTTTCCTGTTATCTGGATCAAACAACGTTAAAAGAACTTCCTGTCGGCTTCTACTCAACGGCCATTAGCGCCTTAGAAACTCCCCCACCCCAAATTTGACTAATGTAGCAATCCTAATTTCGTAAATCTAAACATCTTATTTCTTTATATATATATATATACACACATATATATATTCAATGTGGCCGTTCTAGTACAATCAATGTATAGCTATTCTGAAATGGGAAACCACTCCATTATAATTCCCTAGTACAATCAAGCATGGCTCAAATTTCTATGCTGATCGCGAACATCCGGAACAGATAGGCACTTTAAGAAGAAGATTCTGAAGACAAAGTAACTACCTACAATACCTGTGAAAAGTGATAAATCGCCACTAATTATACACCTATAAAGCAAACATCTACTAAAAAGAAACCACCAGAAAATATTAAGTAATAATGGTCACGCTTTCCTAAACTGCCACCGCCATTTTGAACTGGCACGAAAAACACGTTAACAGCAGACGAGCACCGTATACTTGATGCTTGCTTTGCCACCAATGAGCAACGAGCTGAACAGCATCAGTTCTGTACGTAATATAGGTAACCAATGGTTCAACAGGTTTAATGGCACAGATGAACATTACAGAACAGTATACTTCAATCGGTACATAGCATTATACGTAATTAATATAATGGTACGAACTGCATTTTCCAGCCCGCAGTTTCATGTAATCACCTATACAGCCCTTTACAATAATCATAACAGAATTTAATGTCAGATACTAAAAGAACAAAAACACTTCAAATGGCAGATTAATTCTGTTGGACACCATGAACGTTCTTCCGAAAAAATATCGTTCGATTCCGTCACTGCAAAATATGAGCTCTCATCAGATGCATGTCTACAATCAGGCAGTACCTGATATAGAAAAAATTATTTTACGGTAAATATTTCGTTTCAAGATGCCACAACAAATATAACAAACCAATGCCTAATGTCCAACATGTGAACGTTTACTGATTTTCCATCTACAACCATGCTAGTAATTTGGTGGAAAAAGTTATTTCCTGTTATTGCTTTGTCACATCTCATACTTTGAAATGTATAATAATTTTCCACTAAGATTTTGCCAAACTTGGCAAATGGTAACCATAAATATTTTCCATCAACAGTTTTTGACTACATACATTCTGAATTCCTTGATAATTGGACAAGAGAAACATGACTGCCAAGTAGGACCACAATTTGCCTTAAAAGGATAATTAATTTCGAACAATATCTGGATAGTCACAACAGCTTCAAACAAAAATTTTATAGTTGATTAATTAAACTTCATAACAAAGAAATTTAAGACAAAGCAGCCCCCCCGCCAAAAAAAACTGAACTAAATTTAACATAAAACTTTTTGTGTATATGTATAAGAACAAAGCCAAACCACACAAAAGGAGTGCCAAAGAAAACTTTACAGAACTGTATGCCTGATGCAGCAGCAAAAATTAGCTTAACTCTTATCATATGAGATTTAAAATCCCATACTATAAGGCTGCCAGCCAGGCTTTATATCCAGCATTTAATTAATGTATTAACCCTTTAAAGACCAGCACTAACAATATGTACCACTGTATTTTGCATTACCTCCTTAAACACAATTAACCAGTTGATCTTTGTAATGGTGAAGTGCAGTGATTTCTTCATGAAACAGATTGAATTCTTATACATTACTTAGACAAGTTCCAGCTATAAGAGGTCAATAGCACATAAACAGAAACTTCAATTCTGCAAATTCATGTGTTTGGGGACAAATCATAGCAATTCATTCCTGCAAATGGTAACAAAACATGAACATGAACAAGGGATAAGATTAAAGATATGTGCTGCTATATTAGCTCTCTGATTTCACAACTTCAGTATCCCAGCAACTCTGATATTATATGAAGAAAAATATAAAAATTTAGGAGTGAAAGAGAAGGGCAATTTGATGAAATGTTTTGCCGCAAATGCTTCACATGCTATGTTAGCCGCACTGCCACTTATTTTCACCAGTTACACAAAAGAGATGCTGCAAGTAGATTTTAATTTACCGTGGAACACATTTGTTAAAAAGAGAAATGAATAGAGACAAATAAAGAAAGAAAGGCAGGAAGCTAAAAAGAAAGAAAGAGAGTTTGGGACTATGAGGGGTTCATCACCCTTTCTTTCCATATCACTACTAACTTACAGCTCATCAGCATCAATCTGCCGATATTCGATGGACACCATTTGTTATTTTCAGAATTTTAGTTATGTAAGAAATATATACCTAAAGAAGAAAGAAAGAAATTGGATTGACACTTACCTTTGTCTGTTTCATCACTCAGGTATGATACTGTCACACACCATGACAGCAATCTCCAGCTTCCAAGTGTAGCATGCAAACTAAATATGCAGCAGCAGGCGCCTCCATGCAAGAGTACAACTGGACCTAGAGAATGACATAAGGCATCATTCACAAGACAGTCATATCCATGTGTCCGTAACACCAAGTTGTGTGTTGCTTTGTATCTTGTCTGCAGACTAAACCTCAATCACACAAAATACTACAATTAAATTAAAATTCTTTAAAATATAGCTGCTATACTTGGTTCAGATCTTCACAATAACCATGTTTTCTTGACATGCAAATTCTTTGTATGATGAGCATTTTTTAATAAATGTTACATAAGTAATATATGGCCATTACATAAAATACATGTTACACTGGGCCCCTAACAAACACATTAAACTGGCACAACTTTTATTCTAATATTTAATACTACTTTTCATAAAAATCTGTAAGTATATTTGGAGTTAGAAAATGCTGATAAAAAACTGACATAGTATGGAGAAACTGGTTTCAAACTAATGCCTTCAATTTTAGGTCCTGTCAGACATTGTTTCATGCTATAAGTAATATTAATGTGGCATCTCGCTTTTCAAAACAATCACCGATACGGCCCTTCCATATTATTTATTTCAAGGTGACATGCATCCGTTACACATTACCATTGCAAATACAGACTAAGTACTCAAAACAAAGGAGCAATATTAAATACTAAAAACAACCTGAGCAAATAAGATAAATCAATAATAAATACATATTTGTAATGAGTTGTATGTTCTACCAGTAATTACTGTGTAGGACAAAGTACCATCTTCGAGGACTGCTTCCAATCTTGCTTTACATTGAAGCACTGCAGTTCCAAAATTTACTCACCAGAGGCTTAGAAGGTGGAAGCACAGACAAAACAACAGTGATGGCAGAGATCAGGGAATGTAGGGCAAATTTATAAACAGTTTGAATTTGTTGCTCAAGTTTTGGAAGGTGGTGGTGTATGAGGATGATGGAAAGTAATTCAAAATTCTAATTTATCATATCTCATAGAACAGTGTAATTGATATCTCATTTATTATAACATTATATTGTATAAATACAGAAACAAAGCAATCACTAAGTGTGACTATTATTTGTATCCCACCCTGTCCTGACTTTATCATATATTCAATTCTTGGAGTTAGGTAGCTGGAGAAAGAGAAAGAAATATACCAGAAAATAATGATGGAAGAGAGAAAGGTTAGACATAAAATAACAGCAATAATAATATCATATTATTCATTCTAATTAAAAACAAAATTACTGGTGCATATCAACATACCTCAGAGGTGATGAAACTGCTAAACCAACATGCAGTGCAATCTAATTGTGTGCGCGTGAACACTGAAAGGCGAATGTTTTGGTTGATGCCAAAGAACATGGGTGTTTTCAGAAGTCATCATCACTGTGCTCCTGCTGGAGTCTGCTTGTACTATGCTTGTCCTTGTTCACTGCAACATCCAGCCCCAGTTCCAACTCCTCGTCCTCCTCCTCACTACCTAACAACTCTGAGCCCTCCCCATCCAGCAGTAAGTCCGAGTCAGAGTCCAGGCTTCCAGAATCCTCCTCTTCATCAGGTGGTGCATTCATACTGCCAAACACACGACGTGTCTGCTGACCTGCTGCAGATGCTTTGCGCATCACTAAAACAGATTGCAGCATAACAGTGAATAATTATGACTTCTAGATGTGAGTACAGTATAAGACAAAGCAGATAAAAAAGGTATCTTACAACGCACCTCCTGATGCTGTCTTGATTCTCACACGGCTCGCCTTCCCAACTCCCAGCTTAGAAACCTCGTCTCCCTCTTTGACCTCTCCAGGCTCAAACAAGTCCACTGAGCTTTCAAGCAACTTATCTTCTTGTCTCATCTGCTCCAGTAGTCTTTTAGTGTAAGCCTATAAAATGTTACCACCACTTTACTGAACACAACTTTATCAAAGACACTATCACTCTTCAAAATAAATTTATACTTTCACTTTTCAAAATACAATCAAAAACAAAAGTAGTAAAATTCTGCTTTAAGTACAGAATCTCTGTCACATTATACCATAAAACCAACAACTTAATGGATTTGCTTCAGTAAGTACAGTCAATTTTGTCAAATCATATATTATGTGTCACCTGATGGTGGTTTGTTAGTCAAAACAAGTCTTATACATTGAATAATATCCCCCCCCCTCAAAAAAGAGACTCATTACCTTTCTTGCCTCCATACGCTCATGTTCAGCCTGCTCTGCCTCCTCTTGCTGCTGCTCCAAATATGCCACACACCGGAACCGAACCAGGTAATCCTGGTACAGCTGCTGTAGCTCTACCTCCAAACGTTCGAATTCCTCAAGGAATGCTGGCCTACACATGCAAAATTATATTTGTTTACCCTTTACTGTTCAACATTTACATCTGATGAATGGCAATACTTAAAATTTAAATCCACAAAAAAACAATGAAATTTCCTCTGTGTTCCAGCTAACACTGATGACACACACCTAACTTTTTTCAAGGTCTGCAGGCGTTTTTTATTGCGGTCCAATTCAGTCTGCTTCTTCTCAATTTTGCTGTCTAGGTTCGCTTCACTGGCAGACACATTCTCCATCTGCTGTTTTTTATTTGCAATCTCCATCTTGACTGTTTCAAGAGCCTTCCGCACTGAAGCCTCTACCTCTGCCATCTCAAGCTGTCGGCTGACACACATGTTACGCAGTTCCTGTACAGTCAAAATAGGATGTTTACAATAACTCTAAGGACAGGCATATAGATAGAATCACAAGGACCAACTCTGTTTAAAGGCCCTTCATGCTTTTGACTGAATATGAAACACAACCAGTCTCTGCAACACTGTAGACAAAGCTCAACCCTAAAAAACAGACACTGAAGAAATATCCTTATAATATGATATGAAACTATTCCCACAGACCTTAAGAATCAAATTTTACAAGTTTTGAACTACATTCAGGCAAAGTATGTAATTGATTCCTTAGTTATAGTTACATTTTATCAGCTGCGCAGATTATACAGCATCAAATGGTAGGATGACTATGTGAATGATGAATTGGAAAGGTTATGAAAGGAAGTAGTCATAGCATATTCAACATATTTTTTTTAACAGCATGTGTCTAAAGTGATACTGGTGTAAAATACAACATAAGAGGTGGATGGAAATTAATGTGAAACAGAACAAAGTTTCCTAACACAGTTAAGCTAGCTCTTTTACTTATTAAATCCAACACAACAGGAAAATATCCATATGAAACATGCTTTGAAGTAACAGGCAAATGTATTCTGTTACGGAAACTAGTATATTTAAGATGCGTTAAGAAAGCCTTGATGCCAATAGCATTAAAAATGTAGTAACATTTCAAACTGACCCGCATCTCCACTTCCTTCCCTAGCAAATCGTACAGCCCGGCCCCTCTTGCTGTAATCTGTGATGCCAGTTGTCTAGTTTGGGCCAGTTCATGGATCTAAGAACACAAATAGAATATTGCAATTCAGATGCAATGAAAGAAACTAAATCAAATGGTCAATAAATTCTCCATCTTTATGGAATCACAAGATTCATTACCATCTTCAGAAGAGCCATCCAGCACTATCTTAAGATCTGCATCCTTACCAAATTCCACTTCTTGCTTCCAATAGTTCAATAATTAATCCCAGCAGACAAAACATTAAATACAGACCTCAGCAGCTGTCACATGGTTTCTGAGTGTATAAAAAAAAATTGCAACCAAGGTGAAAGGTTATGCGGCAAGAAACAGAACTAGTAACACCACCATTCTATTAAAATGGCCAGATGCCGATGCCAGTGCTCATACATAACCAGTAACTCCCAATCTCTTGCCAGTTAGTAACAAACATACCTTTGATGAGATGTCAACAGGAGAAGAGAGAGAAGAGCTATTATCTCCAAGAGATGCCATGTTCACTCGCAGAGCACTGTACAGCACAGACGTCACCTTCAGTAACTCCCGGACAGCATAGCCATCAGCCTGATAGATGCGCTTTGTGTTCAGCTTTATGTTGGCTTTAGATGCCTGTCACATTACATGGGATATGTTAAAGCAGAGGTAGCACACCACCACATGGAAGTGAGAGAATTAAAAATGAGACACAGGCATCCCAAGTTATTTAGCCAAGCACATAATTAATTTTGAGATATAAATTGGGCAATATATAAAAGCAACCATTATAATCACCTAGAGACATGGTCACCAATTCCACAATGTTATCACTTCCAACAACTGCACAAGTATTCCACTCACCATAAACTGTGCAGCTGACTTAACAAGGATGACCCTATCTTGTTCAGTATCAATCTCTGATGGAATGTCTGCATCAGGATCAAACCGCTTCACTATCCATATTAAAATTTCAGCTACTAATTGGAAATTGGGATTCCGGAAGTTCTCCATGGAAATCAGTCGAGTATATCCAAGAGATCTCATCATTTCTGTAAAGTCTGTGAATATGAAGATGTAATGAGGACATGTGCGGTATTATTGGGAATAACAATTTCAGCATAAATTAAAAAGCTTGCAAAGACACTAAAAACATTTGTAGTTGATGTGACCTGTAGTGCCAGAATGATACAAACACGGGATATTACAAACCATTTTGTTCATGCCCTTTATAACGTTGCTGAAGCATGCACATGAAAAAGCTTATTTAATTTCTGTACCTTGAAACATATCTTGCTACACCAATTTTTTCTTCCACAGGCGCAATAACTATACTGATAAACGTTATTTTACCGGCAATTATAACAAACGTTTTAACTATATAAAACAGCAAAACGTGACAAGTGCTAGACATATTTCCAAAACGTATAATTGCATATGAGGATGTATGGTATTCACGTTGTTTTACTTAACATGTTAATTCTGAATTAGTGAACTGCGGTAAAATATCTTTTCTGTATTCCCCTAATCATAACGTTGCTGTTTTCTCACATTTCACCAAGCATTCGGATATATTAAATAACTACAAGAACTGTTCCCTCCTACTAGAACTAGGCGTAGGTTGAACGTAAAGAAATGGTCACTGTAGGCTAATATATTAGACACTACATACACACCAATATACGTACGATTTCGTCCACAACCGCCTCTACTACAATGTAAGTTCTTTACCGTTTCCAACGAGTCTCCTTAGAGTAACACACAACTCTCACGTTGGTGTTAAAATATACAAATTTCCACTTACTCCTTAAATCTCGGTACGACATTGTCAAAGAACGCTTTTCTCAGGCACTTAAAATATTATTTAAAACCAAACGCATATGTAAAGCAATTTATTACGATTACTGCACAAATCAATCCACGTATAGCATCCATCTTACTCAAACACATTTCCCAACATGATGCGAAGCAAAGATCGATACTGAGCACTACACAATACTGCCATCTATAGACATTCCTCCCAATCACATCTATCAAAACTACAATGGATCACAGTTGAAACTCTTTACAGATTCTTCTGCAAAATTCAACAACTCTCTATTTCCCCAACTGAATTTATTTTTGGGTTTAGTAAGGTGTTATAAAAATATTTTAACCTTTAACTTCAATACTTGTGCATTTCCATTTCTCAGTAACATATCATATTGTGATATACAGGCTTGCCAATGTTTTCAGAGAAGTCAACAGGCCTAATCCTCATACTTAGAGTATTGAAAAATGACAGTGGAGGATAGTACATTCTTGTTTTAAATATAAATAAAATAATTAAAAACTTACCTGAAGGATATAACAATGGTGAATGACTTTCATTTTAGGTATACACAAAATAAAAATATCAAAACTACATATTACATCTTCAAGTAAGCAGAAGTACACGGACACTCAAATCATTTGCAATAAACATAATTCAAATCATAAACTCCTGTTCAGGGTCAGTAACAGTGGCAATGTTAAATTACATTACGATGCTTTCTTTAATTGACTTCATGTGCAGCATCCCAAGTTATTTAGCCAAGCACATAATTAATTTTGAGATATAAATTGGGCAATATATAAAAGCAACCATTATAATCACCTAGAGACATGGTCACCAATTCCACAATGTTATCACTTCCAACAACTGCACAAGTATTCCACTCACCATAAACTGTGCAGCTGACTTAACAAGGATGACCCTATCTTGTTCAGTATCAATCTCTGATGGAATGTCTGCATCAGGATCAAACCGCTTCACTATCCATATTAAAATTTCAGCTACTAATTGGAAATTGGGATTCCGGAAGTTCTCCATGGAAATCAGTCGAGTATATCCAAGAGATCTCATCATTTCTGTAAAGTCTGTGAATATGAAGATGTAATGAGGACATGTGCGGTATTATTGGGAATAACAATTTCAGCATAAATTAAAAAGCTTGCAAAGACACTAAAAACATTTGTAGTTGATGTGACCTGTAGTGCCAGAATGATACAAACACGGGATATTACAAACCATTTTGTTCATGCCCTTTATAACGTTGCTGAAGCATGCACATGAAAAAGCTTATTTAATTTCTGTACCTTGAAACATATCTTGCTACACCAATTTTTTCTTCCACAGGCGCAATAACTATACTGATAAACGTTATTTTACCGGCAATTATAACAAACGTTTTAACTATATAAAACAGCAAAACGTGACAAGTGCTAGACATATTTCCAAAACGTATAATTGCATATGAGGATGTATGGTATTCACGTTGTTTTACTTAACATGTTAATTCTGAATTAGTGAACTGCGGTAAAATATCTTTTCTGTATTCCCCTAATCATAACGTTGCTGTTTTCTCACATTTCACCAAGCATTCGGATATATTAAATAACTACAAGAACTGTTCCCTCCTACTAGAACTAGGCGTAGGTTGAACGTAAAGAAATGGTCACTGTAGGCTAATATATTAGACACTACATACACACCAATATACGTACGATTTCGTCCACAACCGCCTCTACTACAATGTAAGTTCTTTACCGTTTCCAACGAGTCTCCTTAGAGTAACACACAACTCTCACGTTGGTGTTAAAATATACAAATTTCCACTTACTCCTTAAATCTCGGTACGACATTGTCAAAGAACGCTTTTCTCAGGCACTTAAAATATTATTTAAAACCAAACGCATATGTAAAGCAATTTATTACGATTACTGCACAAATCAATCCACGTATAGCATCCATCTTACTCAAACACATTTCCCAACATGATGCGAAGCAAAGATCGATACTGAGCACTACACAATACTGCCATCTATAGACATTCCTCCCAATCACATCTATCAAAACTACAATGGATCACAGTTGAAACTCTTTACAGATTCTTCTGCAAAATTCAACAACTCTCTATTTCCCCAACTGAATTTATTTTTGGGTTTAGTGTGAGACGAGAATGTGATGATTTCTTTAAAAAGCATTATCCAATTGATCTTTGTAATGGCGTACAATCTTTAAATATAATCCGGATGAGATTCTAGCCTCAAAGAGTTTCTGCAAGAATCATTCAAACATATGCTTTGTCAGTCACAGTATTTCACTAAACAAAACAAAATTATAGTGATAATTAGTTCTGTCATGTCTGTATACAGCCTACTAAGATGTACTCATAACTGATGAAGTGTACAACTTTTTAAAACAAACCATTATCAAAGCTCGCTCTTTTGTTGCCAATTCATAAAGTGAAGTAAAGCTGTCCCACTATACGCCATGTAGGCGCTTGGGGGGAGTGGAAGTATAGCTCTTACTCATTCTTGACCTCGGCACTAAATGGGTGTAAGTGGTCAGCATCACGCCCCGGCCGTGCTTTACCCCCGGAAAAGGACCCCGGTGCCCATTGGATAGGAGACTGGGTGGGCCCCAGAGGCGGTCTGGATGCAGAGGCTAGAGGAAAAATCCTCTGCCCCCGTCGGGGATCGAACGCCGGTCGCCCATCCCAAAATTATTGAACACCAAGAAAGTATGAAAGAACACAAATAATAGTTCATCATTATATTCAAAACAAGATTAAATCTTTATATGCACACCTTATATTTTAAATAGCATACTCATTTCATCCTTTCAAGATGTTAGTTCAAAAATTAAAGTATTATGCCAGATTCCAGAAATACAACTAAAAATCTACAGATGGGGAATTGCGCTGTTGCTTCGTTAAGGATCTTGCCCTCTTCTCCACCAGCCTTATACGGGCATTCTTCTCTCTCCTGTAAAAATATATCTTTATCTGGCCTCCATTTATGTACAGTAAAATACTACATTTATTACCCCCAGTTTAAATTTATCTTCATGCAGGGCATAACAGCCAAATTACTTCAGTGCCATCACTCTGAAGTAATCACAATTTACAAGTGTTTGAAAAGTGTGTGGGATAACAAAACCTAACAGGATATGATGGGTTGGACATATATACAGCATGGAAAAAATTAGGAATCATACAGAATTTTAATGGAGATGCCTCCTGGAAGGCAGAGAAGAGATGGCAAGAATATTATTAGAAATGTGTCATATGGCTAGCTTTGGAATTAGTGGTGTCAACCATCTCACAATGTGTTCAGTTTTCCAACACATAAACACACATATTCAATACCTAGTATACTCAGACTGTTGGAAATCAGCTAACCAAACCTGCTGTAGAGTATTTTGAGACACTCATAAGTAACAAATGGAACAATAGCTATTTAAGACTTGTGACTGTTCAATGTGGAAACACACAAAAGTGACTTACCGTTTCCGTAGCTTCTCTTCAGTCTCTGGTGAAACTTCCATCACTGGCAGAGCCACAGCCCGTATTAAAGCCCGTAGCCGCTCTAGAGCATCAGCTAGGTTTAGATGCTGGAATCGTGTCTTGTCAGAACGAAATACCAGGAAACCTTCTTTCGTTATCCTTGACTTGTGCTGAAACAGAGATAATCTCAATCAATGCAGATACTCACCTATCCTAATCGGACTAGCACAATGCACTAACACAGTGAGGACTGGTCCATCCCACCTGTTAAAATAATATTGTACAAAATAAATTATAACTCCTAAACTAATCAACATATGTAAATGACTTGGAGACTAGAATGTCAAGGATTGTAAAGAGAATATTAATTCAATTTACATTTACACAATCACCAACTTGTCATCACTATTACTCAGATGGAAGGACCCACGAGACACGTCCTCTACTTCCAGGACAGGACAATTTTCAGATTCATGACTGGCAGATTGGCTCTAAAATCTAAAAATGACTGAAAAGTGACAGTAATTTCAATCTGTGTGAACACCAAAGTTTGGCTGAGGACTGAACCTGGGATTTCTTGAATGACTGATGTGTCATATAATTCTTAACCTGCTCTAGGATATTGTCCCTGATATCCTTTGAGATCCAATCTGCTGACGCAACATGGAAACGTAGATCCACCTTTGTGTTAACCATGTTGACATTCTGACCGCCTGGACCAGAACTACTGCTGTACGTTATGTGCAGTTTATCTGAAACATACATGTCATTGCTCCAAAAGCTACATATATAGTGCACTTCACCAGTACACTCACTGACAGGAATTGAGGTACTGCTAGCTTGACTACGTATACAGTGGATTAAAAGGTTTACAGATCATTGCACAAACAGAAAACATATATTTTAGTGACTATTAGGTTATTCAACAATAATATATCAACTGCAGCAATTGGTAGCACAGTGTAAGGTAACGACAAATGTTAACACCACCTACCATAAAATGTCAGACATCAGACATGCCCTATCCCCTCTACAAAATAAAAAATTATGCACAACAGACATCACATACAAGTCTTTGTTCTAGTATCAAAATACCATTTCCAAATTATATAATGTATTATAAATGTAATTTTTTAAAAATATGTTTAGTCCAAGAGAAGTAAGCATACAGACATGGGAAAACCTGAAATCTGACTGCTGGAATCTACAGAAAACATAGATCTGCCACACCAGTATTTCAGTATTTATACTGTCAGAAGTACAGCGGTTTTCTTATTTAAAATGTTTGAAAACTTACCTCACTCTTATTCCCTTCAAGCTACACTGAAAATAAACCACATTCCACTGGACACTTAATCCACTAACTGTCAACACTTCCTTTTAAAACTAAATTCATTCTGTTTTTAAAAAAAATAAACTTTGAAACTTCTGCCACCTTTAGGCGATGATGCAACAACATTATAAGACAAATCACTAGATTCTGTATGTTCAGTATATTCTTTTTTATATTTCCATACAATGTTTTCTTTGATCTGATGCTGATCTAAAATTTGGAAGAAATTGTAATGATGCAAATGACACATTGGGGTTAATCAATGTTCTCTGTATCATAACACAATAAACTTACCTATTGGTATAAAACCAGAGAAATTTGGACAGTTGGGATCCACTGCTACCTGAAACAAGCAAGAAATATACTTAATACTAAACCTTATTAATTCATTATATTCTCTACCCCAGAACCTTCATCAACTGACATATGACAATGTCCCAAACCTTTGTTCTGATATGCAATTCATTAGCTAAATATCCAAAAATGTTGAAAACAACACTAGTTTTGTACTACATTAATATTTGGTCATTTCAGTTACTCATGTTTAAAATTTTACTTAGTATGAGATAAACTGTAGATGTTTTTACTCCTATCAGCTTAAGAGTCACTATCACATTCTGAGATCCATAATTATTGTTATGAATCATGCTATAGTGGGTACTCAGTAAGATGTGCACAAATTATTAATAAATTGCAACCATTATAATAAGTATGACGAGTGTGTGTGAAAGACCCAATTATTGTTGCGTTTGGTTTAATTTATAACACATTCGGCTTCTTCAGTGGAAAGAAAATACTGTAATCATGGTTTCGCATGCTTCTTTCATCACACTGTTACATTCACACTTATGCTTCATCATTCACATTACGAAAAACATAAAACAAACCTCTGTAGCAGTAGTAATTGAAAGATTGCTTTTGGGATAAATATTTTCTAGACAAATTGCACTTTTGTAAGAGAATACACCACATGAGGTACTGAGCTGGCGGCATAAAGACCGCATGCAGTGTAGTTTTATGACATTCATTTTAACGAATGTATTTACTAACGAAATATGCAACACATATAAATCAACATTCATGAACGCCGTGTCGCCATATCAAATGTCACAGGTTATACTTCAAACATGGTGGAAATAAATGCAAGCATTGACCATAGAGTAAGATGACGAATATCATGTTTTACAATCTGTGACCACGTAAAATTACGTCATGGGTAACCCAACTTTTTTCTCCACTTCGCCTCACCTTACGTTCACCCACCGTAACTCGTACACCTCAATTATAATTTAGTGTAAATCAAGGAAACTGCAAAGAAATTTCTCCGAAAATTAAATTTACAAGTGAGTGGATAGAAATATTGCAAGAAGAAATATCTCTGGAACATTACCTGACGATGGTGGCAATATGATTGAAACCAATCACAGTTTTATTTTTCTCGCAAGAGCTTTGCATTAACCATTTAATGCCGAGGGTCGCCTAAATAACCTTACAAAAACTGAAATTGTGGGTTGTTCGTTCGCTTACGGCCAATTTGCACAGAACTTGACGTGCATATTTCCAGAGACCTGGAAGAGATCACATCGAGACGCCATACGACAGGTCACACACAAAACAACATCAAGCGTCGAAAGGCCAACAAAATATTCCTCACGTAGCGTACATGGAGCACAAGACAAGGCGCTGATTCATGCCACCAAAGAAACTCGACACGATACTAGGAAACAGTGGCAGCTCGTGAGTCTCAGCAGTGGTAGTACTACGCAAGAGGGAAAAATACGAATAATATTTCAACACATAACAATATAAATAAATGAAAAGTAAAATTATATCATAAGAAAAAATCATACGTGATCGACGATGTTTTAACTATTTGTAAGTCCGGAACAGGGCGGCCATGAATTTTTTAATCAGTTTTCACTCAAAAACAATTTTTAATAAGTGATTCACCGTAACAATGATACACTTCCTTTGCTCATTATCATTATCAGAACAAAAAGTAGTCAGCACACAGAATAATTGAACACTCATTAACAACAGCCACGAAACAGTTGTGAAATGACCCTCATTCCACCGCCCGCCCCGCTCTCCATATTTCAACGGCTAGTCGCGCTGAAAATCTAACAGCAGGATGACAGTCCAGTTCTCCTTCGCACTCCTCGCCCGCGGACTTCTACCATATCAGCCGATTAGTGGATAATGACAACGTAAGGGGCAATATTAAAACAGTGACATAGAGGAAATGAAGTGTTACAAATTATATAAACACAATTTTTTTTTTTTTTTTTCAATTTTTGAACAGCATCGCAACGCGTACAACGTCTCTGAATTCCAAATCTTGCCAAGAAAAGCGTTGTAGAACGTCATAAAGAGCTTGGAGGAAACTGAATTCTTGGAAACGAAAGGAGACAGTCTGTGAGTAGACTGCTTTCTTTTGCAGTAAGAGACGGTATCTAATGAGCCTTAAACACGCATGAGTTGTTGCAATTAACACCAGAGAAAGTCTTGCCAAGTAAGGGGTTTCCCACACGATTAGTAGGCCGCATACGGCCCGCCGACATTTTCAACACCGAATAATCAGAAAACATTTCGTCCAAAGTCAAATGTTGAATACAATACCGAAGTTAATCATTCATAAAAACACAAAATTTACAATTCGGATAAATATGAGTGTTGAAAATGTGTTTATGGTGAATTTGGCCATATTTTGAAAACCCCTGTTCCATGCCCACCTGCAATACTGGCACAAGCAGATGGATATATGCAGTTTACCTGAAAAGCGGAATATTTAACAACGACGCACTGTCGTAAGCTTACGAGCTTCGGCTTCAGGGGATCAAATACCAGTGCAAACTATCCCGTTCAACTAACTAACTAACTAGATGGCTTACCGAAACCTTAGGTTCATCACCGAATTAACCAAAGCCCTAAACCGGACCCCGTCCTGGGCCAACAAAATCCAGTCTCCTTCAACTCCTATCTCCCATAGATCCCGCCTGAGATTATCCTCCCCATCTACGTCTAGGTCTCCCCAACGGTCTCTTCCCCTCAGGCTTCCCAACCAATACCCGGTGCACACCTCTTGTCCCATCCATGAGCGCTACATGCCCAGCCCATCTCATTCTTCTCGACTTAATCACCCTGACAATGTTGGGGGAGGAGTACAGATTTTTAAGTTCGTCATTATGCAGTTTTCTCCATGTCCCATCGTCTTCTCTCCTAGGCCCAAATATCCTTCTCAACACCCAATTCTCAAACACCTGCAATCTGTGTTCCTCCCTCTGAGTGAGAGACCATGTTTCGCACCCAACTATCCCGTTCAACACACAAACAAACCTACGTGCCTACTACACATACTCTGCATACCATTTGCATTTACGCATGGTGTGGATTAAATTATGGCAATCAATTTAAAAAGATTTTATGCTCAATACATTCTCGTGTCACTCGTCGCCAAGGCTTCCTCCAGCTTTTCTTTCTTTGTCACTCGTTAACCTCGTGGGCACCGGTTCGATTCAAGAATAGTTCAAGGACCCGGCGTCACAAACTAAAATCACTCTTCGTAGTTTAAAACTTTGGGCCTGGAAAAGAATTCAAACTCTTTAGAATGTTAGTTGAATAATTTTCTTTCCCTGGGTTACAACGCCTTGTGGACTTGTAGGTGGGTATCAACATTCCAGTAGAACGTACAGCCTCTACCTTCAGGGTTGGTTTAAATACAAAATTAGGATGTTCCTCCAAAACGCAACATCTCACAATACCAATATTTAAAACAAAATTCATTTCCAAAATAGTTCAGGAGACAAAATATGGATACGCCACAGAATTATGTTTTGTAGTTGTGGAACTGAAATGAAGTGAGTGCTTTTACGTCTCTGTTTAACCATTTCTGATTATGCTCAAGGCTATTAGGCGCATTTACCATGTGACATAGTCCCTTTGTTAATCGCAGATGAGCTGACATTCGCAAGTCCTCGGAGAAACACTAGGCTACACTCTTGAAGGAAAAAATGCTAAATTACTGATTATTAACCCTTTGAAGCCGAAGATCGTCTGAATATTATTTATGAATTCAGTCCGTACCGCGAAGAAAACACTACACCTCACCATTACGAAAATCAGCTGGTTAACCCTTTGAAGCCGAAGCTCGTCTTCATAATATTTACGAATCCAGACCGTACCGCGAAGAAAACACTTCACTTAACCATTAGAAGTCGAATCAGGCGGTACCACATAAGATTTAACAAAAGAACATCCCGGTCAAAGCCTTAAAGCACATGGCGCATACAGTTACAGCTAGGCTTTGTAAAGTTAACTCTCACGTTAAAAAAAAAATAATTTTTCTAAAAACCGCCTACCGTGTCCTAATGCCATCCACACAAAAGAACGACCGAGTGTAATCATTTAGGAGGCTTTGGCTGAAGGCCCCGTTACACAACACTAACTTTCAGGAAACAAACTATTGCCAACCGAAGAGAGAAACAACGTATAATATTTACAACGCGGTTCCTAACGCCAAGGAAGAACATCACATAAACGTTATAAAAGTAGTCTACTTTAAAAATCTTTAGAAAGATTTTTTCTCTGTTCTGTGGATCAAATCAAGCCAATAAATTGACTGTATCAGCGTTCAACAGGACCTACACAATGTCGCCACTGACGTACACCTGAAAGGATTAGTGATCCATTGCAATGTTATTGATCATGTTTCCATTTAGAACATTCACTTTTAACAGAGAGTTAAGCTTTGCCAACTTTCGTCTTTTTATTTAGAATCATTCTTCTATCGTTATTTCTCGTCTGCTAACATTCACAAATAGAAAGTAGTGACTGAAGAAAACAAGTCTAGATCATGTCGGTGTGGCGTGCTGCTCGTGGCCGGATCGATTCGTGAAGCTGCAATGTTTCACTTATCTATAAATACATTCATCAGCCCCTGGATTTTCGAACTGCCAGTAATTGCAACCTGCAGATCACAGAACTTGGTGCAATGTTACGAAAATCAAACAACTGACCTTAAAATTTATCTTCAGACCTGCAATGTTCAAGTAACTTACGACGTTCCACAAAATTATAACCGACTCCGTGGAACAGAACCCTTCCTGAAAAGCTGACAATCGCTCATCTAGTAAAAAAAAAAGAGAGAGAGAGAGAGAGAGAGAGAGAGAGAGAGAGAACCCTACGACGAGATGAAATATTTACCTCCATTTCATTAACATCTACAAAGTTTATCTGAAATTACGAGACAAAACATCTGAAGAGATGTAAGACTTGAGGTTCTCACAGCGGTTAGTATGAAGATTTCTGCCTTCTGGGTTGTTGCGCTGTGTAGTCTGGTCGAGGTTAACCAACGTTTCAGAGGTCATACTGCCTCCATCATCAGGGCGATGAGTATGAAGCTTTCTGTCTTCTGGGTTCTTATGCCGTGTAGTCTGGTCGAGGTTAACCAACGTTTCAGAGGTCATACTGCCTCCATCATCAGGGCGATTCATCGCTACCCAGTGCAACAACCCAGAAGACAGAAATCTTCATCTGAAGAGATGTCATTTCCGTAGTACACCATGATCTTCATCGTCTTAGAAAGTCGACAGAATGGTAACAGCTTACATGTTGGTGGTTTTTCTGCACTGAAGTCTGAGGCATGCACCACGCCGTATTTGTGTCCCTAGAAGTCTATAAATTTACAATTTGAGGCCTTTCAGAAACATCAGACAACACGACACTGACCTCTGAGGGCAGGGTATATCAAGGAACACACTGTGACGCCACACATGTCTCATTCTCCACCGGAACACGAACACCACAGAGGAATCATCTCGTCTTCTCACCCACTACAGTATTAATAGACCAAGTGTACAAACAGTTCCTAGATGCGACCTATTAATTATTAAGATTTGCAGATCTATAATTGCACTGATGTCAATGACGTCGGAACCAATACTGATAACACGAGTATTCGGGAATTCTAATCACACTCTGAGAACTGTGCCACTAGTAAGCAAGAAGCCTTGCAAGGCCAGTGTTGTCATCACAATATCTACCCGCAGTAGTTGATTTATCGTCGCGTAAATAGCATACGAATCATCCAATGGACCTTGCAGTGAAAGCGTGGCGCTGTAAGAAACAGGGCCATGTGTGTTAACGAAACTAAAAGTGCCAACACCAACTGGTCACTTTCTTCGAGAAAGAAGAAAGTGACAACTGAGATCGTGTACAAGTGTGCCATCTGTGAGCGGGTCAACAAGACATGACCAGGGCTTGATCCCTGACAGGATAGCATTGTGGATTATTTAATAATCATCTGCATATTTAATAACAGTCCATTAATCCACAGGTTACGGCCCGCTAAACTTTTGTTATTTTATCTGGTCACTTCACGGCGCTGCAGAGTACAGAGATCGCATGGGACAATCAGCAATACACAACTGAATCAGACCAGACGTCGTCTTGTGGTTATAATACAAGTTCGGTATTCAAAAGGTCCAGGGTTCGATTCCGATCACTGTTACTGTTAAGTTATCCGCATTTATTTATTCGTGGTTTATTTAATAGAGCTGCCAGTACCTCAGATAAAACAGCGTAGACTCAGAGATGTTTAATTAATAAAAGAAACTGGAAGTTTCAGTCAGGATAGCGGGTCTCCGGGGCTGAAATTTGAACCCCGGACCTCCCGAGGACTATTAAGGTTCCGGAAAAAAGGCCGTACAATGGCAACAATCTCCTGACCACGGCAGAGCAGAGCCGACACTCGAAACGTCGTCGAACAATGAACATTGAGATACAAACGAATCTGTTACTATAACTTCCTCAAGCAAAGCGGAAGGTCGCATTGTATTCGACCAACACAGTCACTTCTGTTTCCGCTTTGTGGCATCGCGCAACTTGGATAACGGCGGATCGAACTCGTGGCAAATAGACACGCGGTGTCCGCTGAAGAACTTCAATTGCCTTTACAACGCTGGCTGTTTCAGGAGCGACTGAAGCTTTCATACATTTATACACTTGTAACGCAGGTCACAGAGTTTGGTTCTCGACGATCTTCGGAGCTTTTAACTCGGTACAGAAAGAAATAATATTTAAAAGATCAATCCCTACCGCAAAGAAAACACAATGCTTCTCAGTTATAAAAACCAACTGGTTAATTCTGTTTAGCGAAATAATCACTTCTGAGAATCATACAGAACCCACAGCAACCAAAGGGAGCAACACGCAAGAGATACTGATTTAAATGAGTTGACAGTGGACTTTACATCATTGCCAGTCTATTAAATTATGTTTATTATTCCTAGTTGCAAAGAATTTAAAGAAATTAAAAGCAAACATACAAATATCTCCACCATAACAAAATAAAAACAACTCCTTCACTAAAGAATGATGATAAAATGCGGAAGACAGGGCCACAAATTTACGAAACATGAAATTAACTTTGTTTCATTACGTAAGACAATTTACAGCAGCTGATATGACCAGTAATGTTTCCCGTAAACATCACGCACGCCATCTGTAAACAGCTTTCTCTGCACAGCTTTCAACAGTCCATTGTTAAATTTAATCCGCCGAATCTTCAGTCAAGTTAATTGTTGATGGGTATGAGAAATTTTGCAGACAAAGCATAGCTGCATTTAGTGAAACCTGAATTCAATGAGGCGGAAAGAAATCTCAGGTCGTGACCCTTGGTTCGACACCAGACCGCATGTTTCTGACAGCTTTTAATAATAAAACTTTTACGTTTCTACTTCAACCTTGGCAACGCCAGTTTTCAGTATGGCTTGCATAAACAACGCACAAGAAGGTCTTCTTAGATTTCTGTGGAACAGAATCCGTAAATAACCTGCAAAGCAATGACTTAATGGATCTTACAAATTTCGTAAGCGACAAATCCTTTCTTTGCGTGATACGGTCGAGGTATCTTGCTCAGAACACTGGCCCATCGGCCTGTATTTATTTGGCGTATGAAAATACGCTTGAAAGAAACTTTCCCCGCTTAATACGTGCAAACGGACGACACTCACTACAAGCGTCTGCACTATGACATTGAAATTCTTCTTATCTTTGTATAGGCTAACTGAACTGCGACAGGGGAAAGCGCATTTCGTAAGCGGTAGGCCGGTTTTAAAAATTCGCTGAGCTAAGAAATTTGTGTCCCCGGAGGGGGCTCACATGCCGCTGTTAGCTGTCCTCACCCGGATGCAAGCGACTGGTTGGTCATCGCCTGTTTGAAGGTTATTTTTTTTTTTGAAAAGTCGATTGTGTACTCGGCTTTCAAAGAATAGCCCATTTTCTTTATGGAACCCGAAGGTTCATCATCGTGCTCACAAAAGCCCTCCGCCTGACCCTATACTGAGCCAGCTACATCCAGTTCAGAACGTTTCATATCTACTAAATATTTTTACAAAAAAAGTAATTTCTTGTGAGCAGTGGAACTACGGCGATAAAAATCAGATCAGACGAAACCGTGTTTATGAACCGCGGCTTCAGTACTGCGTAATTGGAGAAATTCGACACATTGCAGCGTTCCACTTTGTACGGAAACGGAAATTTTTGTACAAACTGTACAGCCGCTCCTGTGGACCGGTTTGCGCTACATTAGCCTACCCTTCTATTGCTGGAAGGCGAGTGGTGGCGGCTACAAGTTGTTAAGGCTGCAGAGTTTATCTTCTTATCCTGTCACTTTAACTTGTTTATTTATTTATTTATAATTTATTTAATGATTCTGTCAGTAGCTCAGAATCATGGGGTAACTGACGAATACTAAATGTCAACGGGCATGGAAGGAAGTGGTCGTTGCCAAGATTTTAAAACGGGACGTACCAGATACGAAGCAAGGACTGAACTGCCACGTTCTGATCCCATGGTCTGTTACAGTTCAGACCTAATTCCGAAATTCTGGAACCTTTAGACGTTCGATACGACTCCTTGGGTGTTCGATCAGCCCATCACGAAGCCTCTACCTGAATATTACAACCTACGAAAAGTGTACATATAGCACAACGTTCCGCCACGTTAGCCAGAATTCGACCTGCAACTTCTTTGAATGGAACCCAGTGATGTCACAGTTTTCTGGGATCAGTGACCAACGTACTGGAGCGGTGTCTGGCTGGGTGATGCCATCATCAAGGAAAATTCATCGCATGGTTGCGGGGCTGGTTGGGAATGTCCCACGCAATATTCTCCTGCTGGAGATTTCTCGCACCCGCGAAGTTGTCGGTCGGTTTCAACGGAAGTTGGAACGCGTCGACAGATTTTAGCAAAACTCCCCAGTATCGTAGGTTTAAAACGTCCGCTCAGCCGTTCTCGAGCCATTACACGTGAGCGGAATGACGGACGAGTGGAGAGATTTCCTCTAAAACCACAAAACACAGCCATGCTCTGAGCGGTTTCGAACTCACGACCACAGAATTTCGATGACCCAAGATAGAGCTCCAGTGACCGCCGTGGTCCGTGCTATTTCACTCAGACCACAACTTCACAGTCATCATTCTTACCGAACACCAAAGGACAAAACTGCGTTTTATTCGGCATTGTAGTATAAACAAAAGTCTGTCAGGCGTGATCGTGAGGTATCTGAAGTCTTGACTAACTCGGTCCTGCAATTGAATAAAGCCGAGGGCGTGAGAGGTTTCCATCACTACTTTCTGTTCTTTATCTCGGTTTTCGGGTTCAGCCACGAGGTACCCCCTACAACGCCCATGCAGTTAAAACCAGTTCAGGCAATTCAAACATGCAAAAACTCCCAAATAAGTCGGAATGGGGGCAATATTTCAGAACAGTGGTCACAAGGACTCATAGAGCCCTGCAGACTCTCTTCAACATCAGAACGACGGGTTTGAATTCTGCTCTGGACAAGCCGCTGTTATTCTCTCCTGTCCAGTAAGTCCTACCGAAAGTCTGAAGAATTTTTTGTTCCAGGATTAATTCCGAAACCCGAATTAACCGTGGGGTTTTGTGTAACAATTAAATAACAATATTTAATTGATTATTCTTGTCCGTCTAATCACAATTTAAAATTTAAAATTAAAATTAAGATAATTAAAATATCATGTGATGTTCCTATCGAAACATTCGATTTACATTTAGAAAAAGATGTTCTAAATGTAAATCGAATGTTTGGATAGGAACATCACATGATATTTTAATTATCTTAATTTTAATTTTAAATTTTAAATTGTGATTAGACGGACAAGAATAATTAATTAAATATATTTTTTTCACAATATGACGCAACTATACCATCTTATGAATTAAAGAACAAGTTGAGATAAGGATTTTTGTTTCGTGTAGCAAGCAACCTGTGCAAGGCAGGCGATGGATGCTAGATGGGAGTCATCGGCCTGTTTGCTATGAGGTTAACTGATCGATCAGAGACCTCTAAAACTCTTGCAATATCGATAGCAAATAATTGACATGATAATCTCCAAATATGTGTTCTTCGTTTAGATAATCCTAATGTTCAATAAACAAACTAATCCTGTTGTAATTTGTTACGTGCCAAATACCAAGTATTAAGAGCCACTGTAACGTTGACTACAAATTGTAAGTTCGTAATAAGCGAAAGTTCGTTGTAGCGAGTATCGATAAAGCCGGGGCTGTATATATGTAGATTTGTTATAGGTGAAAGTTTCCGGGGAGGGGGCGGCAAAAAGGAGGGATGCAAGAATGAGGCAGGCAGAGATGTCGGTCAGTTGGCCACTAAGCTACAGCGTAATCGAAAGTGCTTCTCAGTGTGGTGGTTCAGTGGCGTGAAACATCATGCTGTTTGCCAGGTAAGTGTCGGTTTAGCGCTCAGAGTGACAGGCACTTCTGTTGCGATTAATGCAATTTTCTGAAAGTGAATTGTTTAAATGCATCTTAAAATTCCACTATTTCGACACCTAAACGTGTCATGGATCAGCTGAAATGCCCCTGACCAATATGAACGAAGGTGATAATGGATTCTCGCAATTAACTATTAATAACTAGTGGTATAGCCACGGTGGTCTAGCGGTTAGAACGCTGGCCTTGTAATCCTGGGGTCTCGGGTTCGATTCCCGGCGGTGCCCGAATTTATAACTTGTGTTGGGCAAGGCCGTGGTCTAGGCAACACGGAGTTTTCCTCCGTGGCATCCCAACAATTACTCCATTCACACACAGAAGAAGGCAATGGCAAACCACTTCTGGATCATCTGCCAAGAACGTATATGAACAGGTCCCAGTCCGAGAAAAGGATGGAAGGATCCTGTTCATATGGACCTGTTGTCAGACAGAACACTTTATAAATAAAATAAAAAACATTGTCAAGTATTTTGTCCTGTAAACTATTATCTATTAAATCTTGCGCGTTGTATTAATTTGTGGTAAGAAAACGTACCACACACTTTAGAATTCAATATGCCTGCATTTTGTCCACAGAGTGCATATAAATAAGGTTTCGTGCGATGATTCTCACTGTGAACAGCGTTAACCAGCTGATCTCTGCGATGGAGAGATGCTGTTTTGTTCGAGGTAAAAACAGTTCAGACGAGACAAGAATGCATATACGAGTTTGATGTGGAAACCTCTTCGAAGGCTGTAAGGTTTAAGACAAGGAAAAAGACGTAACAGGACAAGATTAAGATTACTCTCAGGGGCATGCGTCGTACCCTCGAATGACAGATGGGACAGTATCAAAACTTGGTCCAATGGTGGGTTTTGACATAATCTACGGGGTTCTCTTTCCAGTGCACTGGGCACTAAATTACTAAGACAGCTTGTTCATTTGATTTATTAAGAATTCGGTACCCCACATTCTGAATGTTAGGATAATTTTTACCCAGTAAATTAGGCGGGAAAGGATCGTGAAATACGTCACAGTTGCTTCATTCTAAAAAAATTTGAAACATGATAGTCGACAACAATTCGATTTTCCTAAGAAAAAATACAATACATGACGTCACCAGTCGATGTCTCGTCTCATAACTAGTAGTTGTTCTTTTCTACTGTAAACCAGAAAATAGAGCTCAGAAATTGAGATTTGGCAAGAATACGAATGTAATGGAGGACAGTGTGACTTAACATACATCGGAATTATGGGCGTTTAGAAAGAAGTCAGTAAGAAGGAGAAACAGTTATTTACTCTCGTGTGATTATTTAAATACAGAACAATAATAATGGAATGTGTGTGTCGTATTCTAAGAGCGAGTGCTTCAAAGTCATGCAATTCCTGGAGCTCCAGGCTTCGTTATGGCGTAGAATTTCTTTCTTATGACGAAGTCGAAAATAAAATTCGAGCAGCTAAACAACAACAACAACAACAACAACAACAACAACAACAACAACAAGAAACAGTATTATCTTTACCTCTTTGAAACCGAAGCTCATCCAAGCAATATTCGAAGATTCAGCCCGTACCTCAAAGAAAACATAATGCTTATCCTTTCCAAAGATCAACTTCTTTGAGGAAACAATCCCTGCTAACTATACGGAAAACATAAACATAAAATACGGAGTAATTTATTGTTAAAGCAAATGGTAGATACTGTTCACACCGACATTTAAAGGGCTGACACCACACGTGTTTCAAACACAAGTTACATATTTGTACGGGCTCTATATTCTACGTAATGCGACGACATTGTCTGAAAATAAGCCGCTTTCTTCAACGTTCATGAAAGTTTTATTTTAAAATCAAGTTTTATGGTTTATTATGATTACGGATCTGTTAGTTTTGCCTCGCAACTTATAGTGTAGACCCGCAACACCAAATTTAATTGAAATCCGTTGAGCTCTTTCAGGAAAGAAACAGACTGACAGACACGCAGATCCATCGCTTCCTGCATCTTATACTGCAAAATAAAACAAAATCCATCACGAAAAGCTTTTCGCTTCAGTCTTTCTGCTGTAAAAGTGTTGAGCAAGCAAGCGCCAATAGCTACAACCCAGTTAAAATGTTGGGAAAGTTCCCTGCTTTAATACAAAGCTGGATGTAATTACTGTGCGTTCTCCCTTAATCAAGTTCGGCATTTCTTTGTACTCACAAGAGCTTCTTCCAACAGAAATATAGAAAGTCTGTGAACAATAGCGCTGGTTGGACACAGTATCTGCACGGACAAGCGATAAGCTAACACGGAGAGGGTGTTTACAGTAACCCTCGTATCGCGATGACCCAGGGGAGATTTATGGTATCTAAATCCCATCTTCTTATCATGGCGCATGCTATTAATTCAGCAATTCCTCTTTGTTTCACAAAGTAGCTGTTCTATTATGAACTATTATGCCGTAGTAACATTCCAAGGGGAGAATTTGCGTTATGAAACAAAATCATTCAGCGAATATCAGAATATTTATGGCGCCACATGAGAATCACACGACATTCAGACCTGAGGATTGAGACGGTAAATACCTCCGAAACGTCGGTGTACAGTCAGAAGACTTCTTGGCGCAACATCCATGAAGACCACCATTTACATTCACAGCGCAGTGAAAATCTCAGATCAAGTATTAATCCCAAATGTTTTTTTTAAGATTCATTTGATATTGTTTCCAGATGCTTGCCCTTTTTTTCAGATAACTTCAAGTCTCATATTCACTTCGTAAAATCATCACGTAAGTTGTAAAACTCACAGGTCTGTTGTAACTGTCAGTCTCCTGACTTCTAACGTCATGTAGATACAAAAAGAACGATTCGTAGGAACATGCTGCCCCCATCTCCAGAGCTGAGATAGAGTTACTACCTTGAAGAACATCTGCGAAATCTTCACCGCCGTGACAAACTGACATCTCATAAAAGATCTAAGTTATCATTTCGGTATATTTTTATCTTTTCGGTTCCCGACGGTTCCCGAATTTATAACTTGAGTTGGGCAAGGCCGGGGTCTAGGCAACACGGAGTTTTCCTCCGTGGCATCCCAACAATTACTCCATTCACACACAGAAGAAGGCAATGGCAAACCACTTCTGGATCATCTGCCAAGAACGTATATGAACAGGTCCCAGTCCGAGAAAAGGATGGAAGGATCCTGTTCATATGGACCTATCGTCAGACAGAACACTAAAAAAAAAATAAAAGACCCACATCCGAACTGGCTTATTTAGAACACAAACCAACGCAGAAAAAAATAAATAGAATTGTATACATTATCAGTACCTATTTTGTACTGTTAGACATAATGGCAGTGATAATACAAACTCCGGCGTGGTTTTATCCTTACGGAAATCTTTGATTGGTTCCTCGAACGTAAGGGTGGAGTCAGCTGTTTGAGACAAGCCAGTGACCTTGCTGTGACCTCCATTCAGAGCCCGTTAATAGCTAGGCATTTCCAGCGTGACTACATGGAACTTGATGCATTATTCCGTAATGGCAAAGTGTTCTGATCTGAAGAACGAAATATCACCCGTGGGTCTTCTGAGAGCCGGCTCTGTCTGCTCCACACCGTTCACAGATATTGTTACTGGCACGTCTAAGCATTTTCGTTGGGGTTCTAAAGTCTAAAAAGCTGAATATGGACATCCACACGTCTTTTGAATCCACAAGACCAACATCAACAGAAATGTACAAAATCGCAGCAGAAGCGACTGAAGAAATACTGGATGAAGCACAAATGAGACCTTTATCTGTGAACGTAGATGCAGGATGTTCCTGCTACAGAAGTCGAAATTACATAGCATACTTCTGAAAATCTATGTCTCTGGAGACGCGAACTGGTGCATTCGGCTTCCAGGTATCTGGGGGTGACATGGCTCACCCTGGCCAAAATTCCGTCAGCCCATCAGTCAGCATTAAAGTAGAGAAGACGAAAGACGACGAGCCAGTAGGAATGTTGAACGGAAAGCCTTTAGACGTCAAAGGGGAAATGGAAAGTGAAAGCATTCGCCGAGTACCAAAAAATATAAGTTAGCAACTTTTCCATTTGTGGTAATACAACGCTAACCAGAATAGTGCTATGAGGACACGACGCGGTTCAAGGACCACCGGCTGATAAAAGTTCTGGCAGAGAGACTGCCGTAAGCTGAGTGTCAACGTTAACAAATGCCTGCTGTTAGCGCATTGATGTCATCGATGTTTATGTCAGACTTTGAGCATTATATAACTTAAATTATTGCAGATTCCACGTACAGGGATTGCCATACTTAGGCATGCTTCAGAAGCGAATCCCAAGGTGCGTACGGCCTTGGGTCGCTCAGAGTCTGGAATCGCAGTGTCGAATCCCGGTCGGGCATACGTGAAAGTTCCGCGTTTCTTGGGGTAATCCCCCCAGTCCAAGGACTACTTCGACGTTGATTCTTTGTAGCCTGAGATGATGACCAGTGTGTCCTAACTTTTACACCTTTCAGTACGCAAAACATTCTCATAATAAATAAGCAGTTTCAGTTCTTCGATAGTTTATTTTAAGAAAAATCCTGATGAGGGGGACGGACTTTTCCATTCTCCATTTAATACATATGTTTAGTGCATTGCATTGTTCTGAACATAAATTCTAGCTGATCCTTGAGCCACAAGGCTCTGGCAAAAGCAGTCTTGTCTGTGATGGAAGATCCTTTGTAGCAGATAGAAGTGCAGAATCACCACCATCACGTCAGTGATATCATTCGATCATTGCCAGTGCCAATGTCTTCCCATTCTTAGACATCGACAGTGAACGTCCGAGTAATTACGCGTCCAGGGATGAACAAATCTTGTTGTTCCTCCCGTGATTCACTAAAGGCTGCTTTTGTCCTGTGCTGCACAAACCAAGGTCTACGCTCTGGCCCGATTTGCGTGAGACTGAGTTATAAAACAGAGCAGCTCTCGTTGCTTGTATACGGATTG